AATTTTCCACTCAACAGCACTCACCACTAGATTCCTTTTCCTGAAGTGCCCCGCTAAAGCATTTACATTTTATTTTCATTTATCCCAAGACTAAATATTTTCTACTCTTCAAAAACACCAAAAGTCATTTTAAATGGTTTCCACATTTTTTTACTGTGTATGAGTTGCTTTTTCATTTTTTTAAAAAAAAACATACAAATACAAATAACACAAATTTAAAAAAAAACAAAATAAGTGAAATTTCCACGATTAAAATACAAGGTAACAAGGCGGCAAGGATTTTGCATCACACTTCTCATATATCCTTCAGGCAACTAACACAGAATTTTTCCATACATGTAACTAATCATACCATTTTGTTAAGAAATTAATCAAACACATTTTTAAAGTAGGATTTATCTTCTAATACAGTACTTTAAGTTTGGTGTGTCAATGGTCCAGATACTCTTAAATGAATATGGAACAACAGAAAATAAATGTTGCCAAGGGAAAGGTTAGAACTATTAAATACTGCCAGGAGGATTATTAAATGGTACAATCACTATGGAAAACAGTATGACATTTCCTTAAAGAGTTGGTGCTTAAAAAGTACCATCTGATCCAGCAACTAACTAACACACTCTCTCTCTCTCTCTCTCTCTCCAGATCTACACATCTATGTCCACAGGGAGCAACTCTTACAAAAGCAAAATGACGAAACAACCAAAGTGTCTATCTATTGAGACAAATAGATAAACGAAATATGATACATTCCATACTGGGGAAGACTATGCAACACCAAAGAATAGCAAAGAGTTTAGAACACTAGCTAGATAACACAGATGAGCCTGAAGAGAGTGTGTGTGTGTGTAATGCTGAGTAAAATAAGCCAGGCACAAAAGGAAACTCTGAATGAGTTCACTATAATTTTTTTAAAAAGCTAAATAAAAGCATACAAATACAATGAAATATCCTTGGGTGGTCACAGGAATGCGAGATGAGGTAATGAGGTAAGAAAATTAGTAATTCGATAACAGAGCTCTGGTGGCCTAGTAGTAAGAAGCTGCGCTGCAATCCCGAAAGCATGAGGTTGGACTCTAACAGATGCTGTATGGGTCAAAGATGGGCGGTCTCCTCCCATGCAATTAACTCTTCTAAAAACCTACCTGAGGGTCAGGTATGAGTCAGTTCTCAACACAACAACAATGGACACAGAGTAAACTGGGTGAAGGGAAAAGCTATTGAGGGATAATTACAGGGGAAAAGAATAAGCACAAACTGACACACTGCATTTTAGGCATTTATGTTCCAGGCTCCTAAAAGCTGCAGGAGGCCTGAGGCCTTCTGGATGTCCCCACCCACAGAAGCACAGGAGAAACTTGATTCCTATCATGACTGCTTCTAATCAAGGGGCCTTTGCTACTTTTCATGACCTAGCAGGGAAAGTAATTTCGTTTTCAAGTTCATCTCCTTTATTTTTAACTGTACAAAGGTCTTCAGAATTCTCTTTTACTGACTGGGGTCTCATTACTTACTCCACAGGGTGTCTAGCTTCAGGAAAGACTAGCAGTGGGACAGGGCTCCATGCTCCCTCTCGGCTGCCTCTCCTGCCTACACACATCACACTCGAGCACTTTATTCCTTGGTGGGACTAAAGAACGCACCGTGGGAGGCACAGAGTTAAACTCCATGGGAAGACAAACCTGTAAGACAATTGTCAGGGGGTCAACTCCAACTTGTGAGGACCCTGTGATTTTCAGATCTTGTACATTGGGGCCTCTTGTGACTTATCGGTAAGGAATTGCGCTGTTAATCCAAAGGCATGAGGTGTGAATCCCCCAGGTGCTCTGTGCAAGAAAGATGAGCAGTCTCCTGTGTGATTTACTGCCTCTGAAAACTCGCTGGAGGGTCAGCTATGAGTCCGTTCCAGCTTGGCAGCACACAACCACCACCTGCGTTTCAGAGTAGAACTAAGCTCCCTAGAGTTTCATGCTTCCAAGGAACTTCTGAGTAGGTTTGTGTCACACAGTGCTAAGAACTTAAAACTGCACCACCAACAAGGTGGGTCTTGCTATTGTCGAGTACCACTGAGCTGGAACCAACTAACAGCTGACTCTCAAGTGTGTTTTTAGAGGCAGTAAATTGCATGGGAGGAAAATGCCCATCCTTCTCCCGCAGAGCAGCTGGTGGATTGGAACCATGTGCCTTTTGGTTAACAGCACAACTCCTTTCCATTAAGGCACCAAAGGTCCCTACCCAAGAAGGCAGCATCATTTTCTTTCCCCTGGAAGGGCTGGGGGATTATATATGTGACTCAGCATGCCTGTTTCAAACTCTTGTGTATCAGAGTGAACACATAAGAAAAGGCTCAGAGTGTGTGTCTCGGGTCCAACAGGGAGGTGGTTGTTCTATGAACTGGCCCATAGCTGACCCTCTAGCGGGTTTTCAGAGGTGGTCAGTTGCACAGGAGGAAACTGCCCATCCTTCTCCTATGGAGCTTCTGGTGGATCTGAACCATGTGCCTTCAGGATTGCAGCGCAGCTTCTTACCATTAAGCCACCATAGCCCTCTACCAACACGGACAGAGCAGCATCTAGAGAAGAAAAGCGAGGTACACTGGTGCCTCAGACAGCGCTGCTGCGAGTTTTATCTGTAAACACTGAAACACCCAGTCAACTGAATTGTCTGGCTTTCAGTAGACAAAACATCAAGTGATTTTTGTCTCCATGAGCAGACGTCTGTGGTCATCTAGATAAGGCTCCAGCATAGTAATCTGTATAAGAAAAAGTGACCTACAGGGGAAACACTCAAGCAAAAGCTCAAAGTTCCTAGAATGCCATCATTTCCAGCTGACGCTCACCATGCCTCCATCCTGCCCCCTGCCCCCAACTCTAATGCTGTCTCTCTCACATAAGACACACCCATCCCACCTCCAAACCACTGCCCCCATCAGTCACAAGTCATTCAAAGGATGCTTCTGGCATGGGAAATTTTTGCCCTGGTGTTTTAAAAAAAATCTATTTAAAAGTATAAGTTAAGTATGCCAACAAGGCTTTGTTTCGACCTCAGAAACTGCCAGCTAAATGGAGAACACCACTTCATCCTCTGATTTTTCTACTGGCATCCCTTTGGCAAATAAAAAAAATATTATCACCTATCATTATTTTATCTCCCTTTGAACTCTCTTCTTGTTAAAAGACCCTTTCAAACAACATCACACCACATTAAATGGCCAAGTCAATCAGAGTTGATGATCCACAATGGAAGGGGTGAATGGGAAATTAACAGTGGAGATGTAGTTAAATGGCTTTAGCTGTGGCAGCTGTATTTCTGGAGTTAAAAAGCACAGAGGGCCATCTGTTGCTAAGCCTCTAGTAGCTGGGCAAGAAAGCGGAGAAATCTAGGACACGACTCTGATGAGAGACTTTGTCACCTGTCCGTTACCACCACCCCCTCCCAGGCCACCCCCTTCCACAGGGAGTGTGCATGAGGCTGGCATCAGGTGCAAAGGGCCTGGGGCCCTTTCCCAGATACAACATCCCAGGCTGACTGGCATGACATTTTGCATACTCATTTGTCTCTAGGTAATCAACAGAAAGCAAAGTTTCATGAAGAAAACACCTGATTTTCAAAAATCCCAACTGTGAATTCTGAAATGGGGTGGGGCGGAGACACATTCTGGATTCAAATTACCTTAGCGAAAGGCACACAAGGTAAATATAGTTGATGCAGTCAAACATACTGACTGCAGTACAATGGCTAGTACTTGATACCCACGATGAAATCCGAAAGTTACCCACTAACTCCTTGTTGTTACTGCTGTGTGCTGTCGCGTCAGAACCAACCCATAGCTGTCCCTCAAGCTGGTTTTCAAAGGCAGTAATACGCATAATACAGCCCTCGAGCAGCTGGTGGATTCTAAGTGTGTGCCTTTGCCACTGCAGCTCAGCTTTTTACCACTAGGCCAGCAGGACTCTATAGGAACTCCTTACTATTGGGAAATTTGACGGCTACCCTAAAGTAGCTCAACAAACCCTTGCTGGGTTAGTCACAACTGTTCGATGCTGAACCAGGATTTCTCCATGCTAGCTGGAAAAGCTCAGAAAAGACCAGACCTTTTCAGAAGTGTGCCAGCTTCAACCCTTCCCTACTATAAGATACTCTGATCCAAACAGCCTAGAATTGAGATCAACTACGCCGAATAAACAAAGTCACGTCTACTGCCATGACCGAAACAAGAAGTCAATGTGGATGAATCGAAACAGAGGTGTATGGAAACGGACGCAGATAGGCCAGCAAGTGGATCCACTCAGACAGGTCTAGCATTGCACAGCACCCAAGCGTTCATCTTAGACAAGTCAACTAAACACAACATTCTGTGACATAACAAAATTGGATGCTTAGCTCAAAGCACAGCTTTCACTTTAATTAATACATCAAACTACCCCTCAGTTAGTAGGGACCACCTCATAGTGCAACATCCTGACCTAACTTATGGGCATACCTTATGGAATAATTTATGGTTTTTCACCCCACAAGTGGGCCACAATCACTCCAGGGCCCCATCAGCTAACTGGAATGCTCTTTATCCTACAGCATGAGTAGAGGCTGAGTTAATCCAATAACATTCTCCTTAGTTTTCTTCCTTTGGAATCCATCACAGAATTACATGCTTCACCTGCTCAGGCAGAAGTTATGGAGAGCCCTGATGTTCACTCTGTGAAGTCACTGGGAAGTGTCTGGTGACACCCATGAAGACTACCATCTTCCTGAGAAGTGGGGATCCACACCAGGACTCTTAAAACACGTGCCTGTAACTCACACATCCCTGGTCCAAGCAACCCATGCCAGAGAGCGTAGAGTCGGTGTCTTTTGCAAGTCCTCAGCAGATACACCTGGACAGAATTCTAAGTTGTTACTGCCTCAGGACCCAAGATTCAGTAGAAATGAAAGAAAAACCATGAACATACAGGGCATCAAAGGCTGCAGCTGAGGTGCTGGAAATGTCAGGCAAGACTTACCACTCTGGGCTTCTGCTGGTCCAGGGTGTGCAGGAAGGCCGAGTTGGGGTCCAGGGAGCGCTCGGGGTCACTAGATATGTCCTCCTCTGAGTCCTCATAGGATGAGAAACCCGTGGAGGACGCAGAGGAAGAGGACAGTTTCCTCAGTGGCAGGCTGGCCCGGGGGCTTCCCTGAGTCTCCTCCAAGCCCCCGTCTTCCTGGGTGCCCAGGTCTGTTATGATGACTGCAGGTATAGCACCAGGGCTGCAGACTTCCATCTGGGAAGGTTTGTCTTCCTGATCTGGAGGCAGCTGCTCTGAGCTTCCATGTTCTCTTTCCTGTTGCTGGGACTCCCAGGTGCCCTCCAACTGTATCCTTAGGTCATGCGTCCAGGCCAGCCCCGCTTCTTCCATAGGACCCAGCCAGGCTCTGGGGGTGGCAAGCTGCATCTCCAGCTGGTTATGAGGAAGGCCAGGTTCTTTCAGATCTTTTGCTGTCTCCCAACAGGGCAAAGGGATTCGGCCAGAGGGAATTCCCTCCTCAATTCCCCTGGTACCCAGCTGTGTAGAGTGGCTACTCTCTAGTGTGAGACACCTTTCCTCCCCTTTGTGAGAGCTCTGCAAAGCCTGGACCACCAGGACCCCACTACTGGTCTCCTCAGAGCTCAGTTCTGCAGGCAGCCCCAGCCAGCTCTGGCCCTCTGAGCTTTGCGTGTTCACAGTCATCGCTGGCCTTTCTTGGACTTCAAGAGCCCAAGAGCTTGACATGTCACAGGCTACCTTCCCCATCTTCTCACTGGGGTCCCCACCGCCGGATCCACCCCTTGCCAAGTCCAGCTTTATCTCACTGCCCACAATCTGATGATGTTGCTCCAAAAGGGGCTTCCCAATCTCGGGGAGAGCAGGATCATGCACATCGTGTGGCCCAGTGAGTGGGGTTCCTGGTGTCAGTTCCGTAGCCACCACAAAGCTCACTTTGTTCAGCCCCTGTGAAAGAGCCTGGCAGCTGGGAGTTTCCCACAAGGAGACCCTCTTGTCAATTTCCACAGAGATGGGTGAGCAACAGGGGGGACTGGATGGGCCTCTTTTCTCCATAGTCACAGAAGCAGCAGGAGCCTGCACCCCTGGTACTTTCGGAGAAGTCAGGCTGGACAAGGATGCCACTCCTTCTCGGTCCTTGGTGGGGCACAGGCTGAGGTCCCCTCCTGTCCTCCGCGAGTTGGTCTCAGAAGTTTCTGAATACTGTTCCCCCCATGATTTGGTCCTCCGTTCCTCGCCTCTGGAGCACGGGGCAAGGACCCGTGCAGGGGGCTGGCTGCTGCTGCGTAAGGGACACGAGGGTGAACGAGCCCTACCCAATCGCGGGCTGCGGGGCGCCTGCACAGAGGAGCTCTGCGCCTGGATGTGCGCCTCGAACATGCCTACCTTCTGGTTCACCTGCACGTTCTGCAACTCGCGCTGCAGGATCCGCAGCTTCCTCTTGGCCTCCTCCGGCTCAGTGGGGCTGAGGGTACCAGAGGCCACCACCTGCTGCCCGTCCCCTCTCAGCCGACCCGCCCAGCTCGGGCTGCCTACGCTGCTGCTGCTGCTGCCTCCACTGCCGCTGCCGCTGCCGCTGCCGCTGCTCTGTCGGTGCCGGCCACACCGCCAACTCCTGGGGCTCCCAGGCTCTTCGGGCGACAACGACTCCACCGGGGGAAAGAGGAAAGAGGTGCCTCTGCCAGGGCTGAAAACGCTGCCAGGGCTCAGCACAGCCCTGCCCCGGGCCCCGGGCGTCTGGCTGCCGCTGGGGCCGGGGCTGTCGGCGCTCTTCACCTCGTTGACGCTATTCATGATCACCAGGCTATTGAGCGCATAGCAGTACACAGCCATAGTACTGGCCGCCGCCGCCCGGGGTCCCGCTCCGCAGCCGGCGCCTCCTCGTCCCGGGTTAGCCCCGGAGGCCGGGTGGACGCCGCTCTGCGCGCCGAAGGGCTGGCATAGCCCGAGCGGCGGGCTGGGGGCAGGAGCGTGGCTTCAGCCCCCGCCCAGGGCTCCATACACAGATGCGTGCCTCCCCGTCTGCTGTGGAGAAAGGGAGAAAAGGTCAAGACCAGGGTTACAGAGGTGGAAAGAACCTAACTCCCGGAACGCCAGGCTCAAGCGCAGACCGAGCAGCTGGGCAAGGGCAGATGTTATGGGCGCCTCAGTAGCCAGTGTGGTCAGGGTGTGTGTTTCCACGCGGGCCCCCGCTCCCACTTGTGATCATAATAAGCTTTGAGGTTCCCCTATAATCTCAACTGGGAGCCTTTCCCGAGGACCCACGAGGGATGGTGGAGAATGATGGGAAAACTCCTTGGTTTTCTAAAGTGTGCTGTGTGCTGTGAGCGGCTGCCTCAGATCTGGGGAGTGGGGGGACAACGTTCCAGTCGCTCTGCAGATACTGTCTCCATTGTCCCTTTGAGCCCGCTAGGATTGAGACTGTCTCGCTGTCAGGCCACTCAAAGCCCTCCCTACGGGTTTGCCGGCCCACCCTCTCAGAGGCATCAGAGACTGACTCAGAGGAAAGCTAAGAGGGACCTGCAGCCCCGGAGCCGCTGCCTGTGCCGACGTCTGGGGGCTGCCTGCGTGCCGGGGGCGCACGTTCCCCACGGTGGTCCGAGGCTGCGTCCCCATCTAGGGGCGCCTGGCAGGCAGGCGGCAGGGCCACCGACAAGGCATTTGTAAAGCCCTCGCCTGCTCGCCCGGCCTCAAACAAGTGTTTGGAGAGTGTGGGCGCGCGCCCGGGGCCCAGTCTCTACGCCTGCCTCCCTTGTTACCCGAACGGACAAATGCAGCCCCCTGCCGGGAGCGCGCAACTCAGCTCTCTGTGCTCTGCGGTTCGGGGACCCTGGGACCCGTGCCCACTCGGAGGAACGACATCCCAGCTGCGCGCGGCTGCAGCCCGGGGTACACAGAGTTATGCGCGCAAAGCAGGCGGGGAGCGCGCTCCCCGCCCCGGGGGCTGAACGACCGGGTCCAGGGCTCCCCGCATCCCCGGGTCTGGGGCTCCCCACAGTCTCGTCCGGCGGCCGTGGAGCCGCCCGGCGGCCACAGCCCGGTGAAGCTTGCAGCACGCGGGGGAGGGCGCGGGGCGAGCGGCCCGGAAGGCGGGAGCCAGGCACCCGAAAACTCCCCTTTCGCCACGCTGCCCCCCAAAACAAAACCCCCTTCCTCAGATCTTCAGCCCACCCTCTCTGCTTGCTCTGAAACGGGAACCGCCGGCCCGGCGGCCCCGGAGCAGTCAGTCCGGAAGGGAAGACGAATTGTGGGGCGAGAAAGCCATTAAGAAGCGGCCAAACTTACCTGCAGTCAGTAGATCCCCGGCTGCAGGAGGTCTTCGGCTCGTCTGCACACTGCCGCGCCCAAGGACACCAGACCTCGCTAGGACGAGTGGCTCTCAAAGGAAAAATGCTCCAGAAATGCTTTCCTCGCTGGCCTATGAACGACCACCCCGCAGAAAAGCGGGGGGAGGGAGTGGGAAAGAAGAAAATCCTCTCCTGCGCGAAGGGGCCGGGCGGTGGTGACGCCGGGCGGCCTCACGCCCTACTGGCCGTGGAGACGCTGCCCCAGCCGCTGCCTGCTCCGCTGCTTCAGTGTTTGTTCAATGTGCGAATTTAAAAAAAAAAAAAAAGTTGAGAGGGGGAGCTGGGCGGGAGGAGGGAAGAGGGAGGGGGTTGGGGGAGGAAAGCAGGAAGGAAGTTGTGAGCTTGTCTGGGGTTAAAGTCAGCGGAACAAGTTTGTCTTTTCTTCTTTTTTTTTTTCTATTGCTTGACAGGACCGAAGGAGGGAAACACTTTTAAAAAAAAAAAAGTTTCCATTGTTAGCTAACAACAACACCACCAAAAAAAAAAAAAAAAAGCCATTTTAACTTCCGCGGGTTAAAGATACACGATCCGTTTTCCACCCCTTCTATTTAGCCTTGCTTGTCTCTAGCTCAGTGAAGCGGAGTTTTGAGAAATATGATTAAAGCGTTGAGTTTGTGTTTTAAATGAAGTGAATTTGTTCAACCCAGCTCCAATCCTGTGTAAGAGCTTTGTGTGCTTAATCACAAATATACAAATATGTAGAAGGTACTTCATTGCAAATTTTAAGTGCATCACACCAGTAGTTTGGAACACTGGTTCGGCTGTGAGCTATGTGGTGCAGGACAATTGTTAGGTGTTATATACAATAGGATTTGCATATTGTACGTTTGTCTATAATCAAATGGTGACAGCAGATGGAACATCCATATACTTTAATATGTAATTCTCAAAATTCTTTTAAGAAAAACTAGTGCTGGATAAAAAGGCCTGAGAAGTGTCTGACTCAAGTCTCCTACAGAACAGATTAATTTTCAAAAGCCTTTCACCTCAACCATCAGCAAAGAAGAAGTAGCTATCAGCCAACACTCTGGGGCAACACTCCTCCATTCACACTCAGGAGCGAGCAAGTGTGGTTTGCATAATTCACTAAACCTTGAACTACAAAGTTTAGTGAAAAGAAGAAAAATGCAGCTGCGAGGCACAGGAGATTTAGAAATCTAAAACCTAAACCAGTCTTTATGTTTAGGTTAGTTAAAATTGAGGTGGAACTTTTGACTTTGTGATAGCATAGTTTGAGTAAAGCAACCTGTTACTCACTCAGGGAAAGACTACATTCATTAAATCTGAAACCAAGAGAGTTTAGCCAAGAATTCCTGGGAACAAGAGGCTGCTGAGTTCTTCTCCATTAAGGGGGGGGGGGAATAAGAATACCAAACCAACTAGAATGGTCTTGGAGAAAATGCAACCACAGTGCTCCTTGGAGGCAAGGAGCCTTACATACTGGTCATGTTGTCAGGAGAGGCCATTCCTTGGAAACAGACATCATGCTGGAAAAGGTGGAAGGTCAGAGAAAGAGAGGAAGATGGAAAAAGATGGATTGACAGAGTGACTTCACAATGGACTTGGATCAGAGGTTATGAGGATGGCACAGGATAGGGCAAGGTTCCGATCTTTTGTTCTTGGGTTGCTAGGAGTCGAAGGCAACTTGACAGGACCTAACAACAGCAAGGCAAAGACTTCAATTTTGTTGGATCCTCTAGGAACTAAGCCCTTGACTATTTGCTGAAAGATTGGCAGTTGGAACTTACCCCCATAAGTACCTCAGAAAGCCAGGTCAATCTGTTTGCAAAAGGCTAAAATTTGGGAACATCCCATAGAACAGCACTCTGCACACGGAGTGGCCATGAGCAGGAACTCATGTGACAGCAACTATCAAGAACAACCACCACCTGAGTGGCAAGAAAGGGGAGCTGCTAGTTCCTAGGAACCCCCTTTCATGGACTTTACATCAGATAGGAGAGGGCCTTGTTCCAGGAGATGCCAACAGCTACATCAGACATCATGGTGGAGTTAAGAGGATGACCAGCCATGTGTACACGGAATACAGCCACAGTAAGCCCTATCCTTGGGAAGCACCACTGCTGCTGTGTCATCATCAACTTTCCCCCACCATGAGCAGCTCAGCCTTCCTGGCTGTGCAGGCAGGCTGGGGAATTCCTGGTCAGAAGTCAGCCAAGCAGTTTATCTGGTGTGGCACACAAAAAGGATTCCTGTAGCTACAGTAGGACTAGATGACTGTACAGATGTAAAGCCCTAAGGTTCCCAACACAATGAGACAGTCAGGGGAAAGGTGGAGCAGAACGCATGCCTGGGAGCTGGCCTGTTCACATTGCATCTTGAAGCAGGATATAGTTGCCTTCCCCAATTTAAATTCCTTTTAAAACATCCTATCATTATGACAGGAGTGAAGGTAGCATAGTGGAGTGGATGTGGGCAGAGGAGGGTTTGAATAACAATGAAAGATTTTTTTTCTTTTACTTTTCAAAGAGAAAAGCTAATTGGGAGGAGGGGTGGGCTGGAAGAAAGGCGCAACAATGAATGAATGGACATCCAAAGTCTCTGTAAACTTTAATTAAATTAATTTAAAAACACACACACACACACAAAAATATTGCTGCAGAAGGTCAAAGACTGCAGCCTTCAATATGGATTGAAACTCAGTATCAAGAAAACAGAGATTCTTACCACTGGGCTGATTGACAGCATTGTGATGGATGGTGCAGAGATTAAGATTGTTCACAGCTTTAGTTTGCTTGGCTCTATAATCAACACTCTTGACACTAGCAGCCAGGAAATTAAAAGACATACTGCATTGGGAATGTCAGCTGTCAGAGACCTCTCCAAAGTACTGAAGAACAATTATGTCAGTCTGGAGACCAAGGTGTGCCTAATTCAGGCCATGGTCTTTGCAATCACTTGCTATGCATCAGAGCTGGACAATGACTAGGGATGATAGAAGGAGAATTGATGCCTTTGAGCTGTGGTGTTAGAGTACTGAATATACCATGGACAACAGGGAGAACAAACAGGTTTGTCCTAGAGAAAGTGAAACCAGGCTGCTCCTTGGAGACAAGGATTCTGAAGCTTCGGTTAATATACTTTTGACATGTTGCAAGGAGGAACCAGTCCTTGGAGAGGGACATCATGCTTGGGAGGGTGGAGGGACAGCACAAGAGAGGAAGACGCTTGGTATGATGGACTGACTCAATGACTAGGGTAACAGGGGAAGGTATGTCAGAGACAATAAGATTGGCACAGGAAAGAGCAGGATTTAGGGCTGTTGTACATAGGATCGCTATGAGTCACAGCCGACTCTGATGGCACTTAACAACAACAACATCAAAGTCAAGGGAGCTCTGGTGTCTTAGTAGGTCAGGAGTTGCACTGCCAACCCAAAAGCAGGAGGTTCAAACCCACCAGTTACTCCATAGAGAAAAATGGGCAATCCACATGATTTACAGTCTGTGAAAACCGGCCGGTGGGGGA